CTGCACGGAGCCTTAATATTGGGTTGCTGGGGGTGGTTTATTTTGCACAAGGTGTTAAATAATTTTGCTATGCATTGGGTTTTCTTTTCAGCTTTTGCTTTTCCGTTTTAATGATCTACATATGTTGTGTGCTGATGTTGTAAAGAGCTAATGGCTTATGCGGTCATACAATATAGCACTCCCAGTACAATAAAACGCAGTAGGCAGTGAAAATTATTTAGCAGTCCTCTGCAACAGGGTAAGTGCATCTGATCTTGGTAAAGGGTGAAATTACCGGGGCTTTGGTGTTGACATCTTTGAGTTTTGTTTCTAAGGTCTACACAGCTCCTGCTGCAAGTACTAGGGGGGTCTGTTCTCCTTGATCAATTTTTTAAAATCTATTTTATAAAATGAAGTATGATGCAGGGGTGTTTACGTACTTGAGGTTGCTGAGTAAAATACTAAGGAGCCAAGAGAAATGACCAAGAGATGTTATTGCTGGTGTCCCTGGTGATAAAAGAAGCCAACGATGACCTAATCTACCAGACCCCATCTGAAATATCACTTATGGTAGCGCTTTTATAGCACCCAACTGTACCTTCAACTTAAGCTGAACCAATACATTCAGTGTGCTAAAGAGAACTTGCAAAGCCTTACTTTTTTGTTTGGTTTGTAACGCTGCAGAGAGGGAGCTGGTTGTGCTCTTTATGAAGGCAGCAGCCTCCCTGCAGTGGTCCAGCATGTCCCCACTGAGTGACATCTAGAGCTAGGCAATCATTAGGAAGCGCCGCTCCCCTGCCTGTAGGCATAAACATTTATTTATGACAGGTATTTTATATAGTGCCGACAATTTATGCAGCGCCTTAAGTACTCTAGGTCCTTATCTCACATGCATACATAGAGAGGAGAGGAGCCAATGAACCTTCCAGCGTGTCTTTGGGAGTGTGGGAGGAAACCGGAGTACCGGGAGGAAACCCACGCAAGCACAGGGAGAACATGTAAACTCCTTGCAGATAGTGTCCTGACTGGGATTTGAACCAGGGACCCCCACTGCTGCAAGGCAGAATTACTAACACTGGGCAAATGTTAGTTTGGGAATGTTTAGATATAATGCGCTTATACAACTCAGTTTTGGGGTAAGGAATGAATATTATTTTCTCTGCTCGGAGAGCTTACTGCCTCCAAAATGCATCTGAAATGCAACGGTCTCCTCATCTCCGTAACATGGGGAGGTGGGGGGGGGAAGCATTCTGCAGTAGACAGATTGAACTCATGAGAGTAGAGGCAGAGAGCACAGGACGTTATCAGCTCAAAGGTTCATGTTTGGCTAAATAGGTATTTTTTAAACTTGATGCACTTTAACTGGATTCTGATCAGTTGACATAAATGGAACTATGTATGTAATATGCTGTATGCTTTGTTCGTGTTGTAAAAGTTCAGGCAAATATAATGGAATATAAGTCTAAGCCAACTGATTTCTTCGTCATACTCATTTCTTAACACAAGGGGGCGTTATAGACTCATAGATGTGTTTTGGACCTGCTCACAAATTTAGATCGGATATCAAAGGTTCCGTACTTATATCTGCCGCCTGGCCTGATTATACAGAGTATACCCTCGGAGATAAAATGAAATCACGCCAACATCATAGCAACATATTGCCAACACTTACAGGGTTATTCACAAAAGGGTGAAGAGTTTGGAGAAGGCAGGAGAAGTGACCAATCTAGGGCAACATAGCCGATTTGGAAAAATTCTCCAATTCTGCTCACTTTCCACTACAGCTATGTTGTCCTAGATTGTTCACTTCTCCTGCCTTCTCCAAACTCTTCACCCTTTTGTGAATAACCCTCTTAATACATGTTCTCTTTGATTTTGCTGTGTCAGTCGGAAAATACAGTTAATACCCTTCTGATTACTATCCATTCCACAATCCCCTTTTCTAATCATATCTTTTTGTTTTTCCAACAGCCCAAGCATCTCTTCGGACGAGGAGAAAAGGTAACAACAACTTGCTCACCAGTATATTTGCCAGCATTTTTAATACAATAATTAGAACCATAAATCAATGCCCTTCCTTATACAGTATCACGTCTGCTAAATTGATTTAAAATATTTTTTTTAGCCATTGGTTGAAGGCATATTCCACTTTTTTTGAAAAAAGATGTATTCATTTTTTGCATTTGAGCCCGCAAAGCATTGCAGCTGAGATTAGTGGACCGTGGGTGCAATGCTCAGGCTTCTGAAGACTGGTTCTCCAGCCCTATGCCTGTATCGAGGTACAGACCTTCGGTTATGGAGCTGGAGGAAGTTATTAATGTACTACAAGTGCTATGATGTCCCTACACGTGAGCTCTCAGGCAGCATCTGTTTGAGTCACGTGGGGGGGGGGGGGGTCAGCAGTCATAGCCCCCTTCCTGACCAGAGCGTCCCAGGTTGCTAACTAAGGCATCCCGCTCTGATTATAAATATGTAACCTTATAGTGTCCCCATCCATCTGTCAGAAATACTTAGATGAATTATGTCAAGACATGACTCCAACATGAAGCATGACGAAAGTGAATCAGGAAGAAAAAAAAATTAAGTCTGCCTTGCCTTAAGTGTTTCATCTCTTCTGTTCTATACATGCTGCCGCCGATTTTAATGGAAAGCGTTCTGAGCCACCTTCCTGCTGCATGGGAACGGTTGATTTTTTTTTTTCCCTATTCCCCGCAGCTCTGCTATTGTTCATGCCATCGTCATCTACATGAAGCACATCGGGGTGAAGACCAAGGCGGCGGATAGCAAAAAAGCCAAAAGTGGCTTTTTCCGGAAAATGGTAAGTTGGGATTCGAGACTCTATGGTTAGAGCGTATCTAAACCCAAGAACAAAAACTTAATTTATTGCACCTTAACGGTCCTACATAATTTTATCAGACTTTTCGTCCTAAATTTATACTTGCGCATATATACAGTATATTAGGAATGCACCAATACTAGTATCGGTATGGGTGTTGATACCGAGTATTTGGGTGAGTACTCATACTCCCCCAAATGCTCCCAATGCCTAGCCCGATACCGGATCTTCCGGTACCAGCAAGCCGGATGGCAAGTCATTATCCCGCCCCCCGGCTTCCTGATTGGCCAGAAAGCTGGCTCCTGGTGACGAGGAAGCATGGCGTCTGCTTCCCGGCTAATCTGAAAGCCAGGCGGCAAGTAATTACACATCGCCCGGCTTTCCGGCTAATAAGAAAGCCGGTCGGGGCATCATTAAACGCTGCCCGGCTTCCTTAATGGGACTTCCGGTATTGATATGCGTGTGTTAATATAAGCCAAAATACAAACAGTCATTTGTACATGGGAACAGACATATTTGCTCATTACATATGCAGCCTCTGCTCAGCGGCATCATTTTGGGGGGTGCAGGGGATATAGAGCAGATCTGGGTGACACCATTGCACCACCAGGTCCCGGTCCACTCACAGAGCCCCAGGAGACAGGGGACTGTTGTATCGGCATGGCAAATGAATCCAGGATGGAGAGCAGTGAGCAGACCAGAGAGCACGTCCATTCTCCGATCTGCTCTGTGTGATCAGTGAGACAAGCCAGGCTGCACAAGAGATCGAGCACAATGCCGTGCTCGATCTTCTGCGTTGGAGGGCAGGGGAGACGTTCTATCGTTTTTGTTATAGTTTGGATTTTTTTGTGGGGGGGAGGGCAAATCTTTGGTGGTAGGAGGATTTTTTCAATGGTCCGCCCTAGGTGATGCCCACATGTGAAGCCCACATGTGATGCTGAGCCTCCACGATTTAAATCACTGAAATCCAATGAATAAAAGGTACCGGGGCAGTCAGTCTGGGGAGGAAAGTGTTCGATAATGCTGGGCATCCTCCCGCCAGGAAATGAGGCCGACTATGTCTGACTTGCTGTAGCTTTTAATGCACATTGTGAGAAGCTCATAGTGTGCAGTGAAATTGGACTAAGCAACTTCAGGAGAGGAGCTGGTACAACTGCACAAGACTGAAGGCAAGGCCGGAGTTCACCTTTTAATTTCCCTCTTTCCTGTTTCTAGGTGTCTGCTAAGAAGCCAGATGAACCTCCAAAGAGCAAGAAACCGTTCAGCATCTGGAACCGCAATGAAACACCTCACAGTGAGTACTGCGGGGAAGCAATGTGTGCATTCCGGTGTGTCTGGTGTATGAAGTCTGCAGAGCACAAGTGTAGCTCAGCAACCAATAGAATCCCAGCTATTATTTGTCAAGTTTAAAAAAATAAGTGTGCTCTTGATTGGTTGCTGTGGGTGATAGTAGTTTTCCCTGTATCATGTTTCTATTACATATCTGTGTATGTGTTTGTCTTTGCCGTTTGCTATAATATGCTATCATTCAGTTTTTCCTAAATTATTGCAAGTGTTCCATTGGTGGAAGCTGTAATGAACCAGCAGTCACTCCACGCGAATACTTTATCCAAGTTCAGCTATTGGTAGCTATGACATAAATACTATTAGATGTTAAACTTTGTCCATACACAGTAGTCAGTATGAGATATTAAACCCCATCAATACAATTTACACCATCACTGTGGCTGCTATGAAGCCCTTTGCATACTAAGATGATGACCCTATAACGTTCTGTTATAGGGCGGCAACATTCTGTCCCTGTTTCCCAGTTATGGGCCTGCGTTGTCGCCTTCTGATGATGACTACACATAGGGACACATTGCTCAGACGCAATCTATTGTTGTTGTTGTCTATTATACAGAGCAATGTACCATCAGTTAACTCGCCCTGTAAATGCAGTGCAGCCATCATGAGAGTGCATGTAGAAGCAGCTGCAAAGAAGCTGCCGGAGTGCAGATGCAACAAAAGATGGAAATAAAAAGATGAAAACAAATAGTTCCTTGAGGAAATGTATTATGTTTTATTATGCACAATTCTTCAGCAGATTAAACTCACTCGAAGTTTGCATCTACTTTATATTCCTGAGAGTAGCAGCTGACCAAGGTTAGGAAATACTGCTATATAATACATAATATATAAAATATTATTTTACGTTTGCTCTTTGCTTAGGTTTATGGTGTGTTTTTGTCTTTCTTTGTAAGATCAGTTGTGTCTATATTCTTTCCGGTCCCTCTTCTCTTTGAACTCTATACTTGTGATGCATGACTGTCCCTCTTTGCCAATGTCTTATTGTCCCTTGCTTAAGCAAAATCATCTGTACGCCGTGGTTGCAGCCATGTAAGTTAGGCTGGGTTCACACCTAGGCGTAACGAATATGCGCGTTTGTCACGCTTTTCCACCGCAAGTCGCTGTAAAAAACGCGCGACAAACGCTCCGAGGGCTACCTGGCTGTATCCCAATGGATACGCGCGGCAAATACGCCCCAAAGAAGCTCCTGTACTTCTTTGGGCGTTTTACAGCGCGTTCCTACACGCTGTAAAACGCCCAGGTGGGAACCATGCCCATAGGCAATCATTGGTTTTCACATGTTGAGCGTTTTACAGAGCGTAGGAACGCGCTGTAAAACGCCCAGGTGTGAACCAGGCCTTAGTGTTGTCTAAGGAAGGGTGAAAACAAGGTGCTCTTCTGCTAGGGGAAAACAGTCATTATCTGGGCCCGATGGCTTGGGTTTGGCATCTCTCCGCAACACAGAGGGGGCCCCTCACAGGTAGGGGTCCCCCAGATTGAAAAATCCATGGTAATAGAACCAATAAGAGCGCCAAAACCACATCTTAGCAGCCCAAAGTCTTCATTCCACAGTGAGGCAACATGAAGCCAATGCGTTACTGGGGCCAAACAATCCTCCTTCATCAGGATTTAGACAATGTGTTGGTAAGCTTACCTTTGTTGCTGTCACTGGCATGAATACTCAGTGGACTCAATGAAGTATCCTTTCTTTCATCAGCTGAGTCACAAGCTGAAATCAGCAGGTCCTGTTACTTTTGAGGTTCCTGTTCTTAGGGAGACATCTGCCCATTGATGATCACAGTTAATTGTTGTCGGGTTTCATGTATAGTTCTTAACCTCTACCTTGCCACTGGCACTAATACTCGCTGAGTGATCTGCTGCATATTTCCTGCCACCTATTTGATCATTCACATTGAGTCCAATAAATCAACACATTGTCTAAGCCCTAAAGAAGTGGGATGGTTTGGCTCCTGAAACACGTTGTGTTCCTGTCGCTTTATTGAGAAAAAGACTTTAGACTCCCAAGACTCTTATTGGTTCTGTCGTCTAAGACTAAATATTGTTTCATTCCCAAGATGGCTGTCACCTTTGTGTACAGATGACTCCATGTTGATGTTCATTGACGTGTAGGGTCTGTGGGTGGTGTCGCTGTGCATAAGCTTGCCTTCATGCCATGTTTTGTTTTTCTTCTTTCTGCTCCTCCCGTATCTTTCACAGATGTTGATCCCAGGCCGAAGGTTGAGCCCGAAGGTATCTTCCAACATTAGACCCATTTATCCTCCCCACAACTACTTGACATTTTCACCTGTTCCATTCCCTCCACTCAGCCAAATGCATGATGGAATGTACCATAAATTCACCTCTGAACGGGGAGGTTTGAAGCATGGGGTGGGAGATGGGGCACATATTACTAATTCACTGTACCTATTGATGAGATATGATTCGTGAAGACCCTTGTGCTATTTACGGTCTACAAGCCTCAGTCTCGCAGCTATTGTTCTGAACTTTCACAATAGGGGAGGGGACGTTTAAGTTGAAACTTGACCAGTTAAAAGGCAACTTTTATGTTAAAGGGACTCCTTTTAATACATAATACAAAGAGTTTCCAGATTCTTGGAAAATGTCTTCTTTAAGGAAGTATCCTTCCTTTCATCAGTCACAAGGTGAAATGCAGCAGGTCCTTTTGCTTTTGAGGTTCCCATTTGCTAATTGATGACCCTGGTTAATAGTTGTCGGGTTTCATGTGTAGTTCCTAACCCCTTCCCGTCTGCAATCTGAATTTAAATGTTCCGCTGCATGATGCCCCATGCGGGGGGATACTTTAAAAACAGACCCATTTCAACAGAATCCTTCTACCTCCCTTATGTAGACCACCAAAAGCCCTAATACTGCTGCTGGGTGCCACCATCTAGGTTGTGATGCCAGCAGACTGAGAGCTGTCACTCAAGTATTCCCCTTCCCTCCTAGCATCTACATAAAAGGTTATGTATGGAGGTGCAGGGAGGAGTGGAGGGGCTAGAACAGCACAGAGTAATTAGACGCTCTCTGAAGAGGAGAGGTGGCTTTACGCCTCATTTACACAAGAAACGGCCGGCACGTACAGCTCCGTGCACGGCCGTAGCGGGCAGCTCCCGGGAAGGACAGGTGCTGAGTGTGATTAGTACGCAGCCCCTGTCCTTCTCTATGGGAGTATGCGGCCGTACGCCGCCCTGCACGTCCATGCTGGTGTCTGTACTCGTACGCTGACAGGATGAATCCTGTCTGCGTCCGAGCCGGGACACCCGTATGGATGTGCAGGAGGATGAGCGTAGGGCGGTGTATGGCTGCGTAGTCCCATAGAGAAGGACAGGGGCTGCTTACTAATCACACGCAGCACCTGTCCTTCCCGGGAGCTGCCCGATACAGCCATGCACGCAGCACGGAGCTGTACGTGCCGGCCGTTTCTCGTGTGAATGAGGCACAAAATGTACAGGGAAGGAGGGGGCTATGCTATTGAATTGACCCTCTTCCTGGAGTGGTAAAATTTCTATCAATTTCAAAGGCAAATTTCAGGGGAATAAAAACTTGTTTGTGGAAAGGGAAAACACTGCAAGTAAGCATTTACAATACCTGCCCTTTCTATGCTTTGCTTGCATTGGTTATAAACTGGTAACAAGGTCTCTTTAATAATGTCTTCCCTTTTAAGAGTGACCAGCCAATATGTTGCATGGCTGTTGGCTCTCAATCCCAGCCTTCACTGATGCTCTGATCCCCATTTATAATCAAACTAAAGAAAACCATCTTGCGTTAAATACACTTGAACCTAGCATGTAGGTTCACAGGGACGGGGTTAGAGGAATAAAGCATGTACATACATTTTCCTACAAGCTGCAGAACTCTATTTAATGCGTCATAGTTTCCGAACTTATAGCACTTCCTGGTATTGCAGTTTTCTCTTTCGTCGACAAAGTTTCTTTTTTTTAGAGCTTAAACCTAGTGAACTGGCAGATTGATGTTGAGCTGTCAATAGAACCTGAAGGACTTGCTGTGGTCTCTACATGGCTAAAGTAAAATGTTGAGGAACTTTTATTGTCTTCTCGTACTTCAACGTAATGTTAAAACCACAATGCTTCTTTGAAGGACACTGACCTTTGGTGGTTCCCACAGTGTGGTTGACTTAAATAAAACATGGTCACACTTTTAATTATTGTTGTGGTTTAATTGAACCGCAGAACAAACACATTTCTAGTGTAGATGATTTTGTGCACAAAATCGAGGAAATGCAATGGTGGAAATTGAGGAAATGCAATGGTGGACTTTTACAACCTCATTTATTGTTGTCCTGCTGGCTGCTAAATCTAAGATACAATGTAGTGCAACTGAGGCTTTCCAAATTCTTTTCCGAAACGTTTTCTAATAGCTGGGGTGGGTGGCGGTTTTCCTTTGTCACATACTAACCATTTTGTTCTTCCTTTTAAGTGTTGTTAACGGCTCTCAATGTTTCTGGAAGAAGTTTGGGATAGATAGCAGTTACATAGTATAATATTATCTGAATGACTGATGTTTAGGTTGTGTTGACTTGACATGAAATGTGTATTTTGTTTAACGACATTTCTGATTCCTCAGCTGACAAACAAGGGACCCAGGAGAGAAGGGTCAGTCATGGGCAGAGGACCTTTGACAGAAGTGACAGCAATCTGGTAAAACCCAAAGCCACCAATGAGGGGCCGGAGCCCGGTGTATCTGTCACCATACACCCTCCACCCAGTGATCCCAGCGACAGTGACACAGGTCAGTTAAAGTTAGTGATAAACAATCTCAGAAGAGGAGGAAGGGAAGGGGCTGTGCTAGGGAATTGACTCTTCATGGCGTAGTCAAGTCATAACAGACTATTGGTCATCATAGCATGTAAGGCAATTGGCTAGTATAGCACCTAATAATAATACAAAAAAAAACTTCTGCCTTCTCTTACAGTGTCTGATGGAACATCATCCCTTGATGTCACCGATGTGTCCAAAGGGTCTCCAACCACAGAGCTTTGCCCAACAGACCAGCAAGAGGACAGTGCTGAGAATGACAGGTAATGGTGACATTCATAGAAATAGTTCTATGGTGATGTCACTGCTTTAAGCACTTTGAATCGTGCCGTTGCCGTCCTTTGTCTGCTGATTGGACCTGTTCCAAAGTCCACAACCTTGCTTTAACTTCCTGCTTAAAGGCTTACTGCAGACACATTTTTTTTAGTTTTGATTACAGTAGGACTTACAATTTCTGTTAGGTCTCCACATCCTATGAGTGCTGGTGATCTTCATCGCTGTAACCTTGTATAGGCACAGCACTATCTGTGGACATCACTACAAGCACCACCACTATTTTAAACATCGGTCTTCATTGCTGTAGGGTGTGCAGGGGACAGCTTTGTTTACCGATGTGTCCCTATTGGAGATATTTCCTATTGCGTCCTGTCCGGTCTCCATAGGAGACACAGACAGTAGTAAAACCCTTGGAAAGAGGGAAGAATAGCATTGGGACCCTAGGATCATCCTACTACTGTAGGAAATATAGTAGTTATTGAATGAGGTATCTGGAATCTGGGGGGGGGGGGGTTGTTTCTCTACACCAAAGTATCTCTACTGGTTCTTTGGCATGTAACTGGGTAAATCTAAGATTGAGCATTGTAGCACCATGCAGGGATGTAATCGTCCAGATATAATCTTATTATTATCACAGAGCCAACACGTTTCCAGGTTAAAAAAAAAAACATCCATTTAATCAGGGTTGGAAGTAAGACTTGACTGGATGTAAAGAATATGGTGGTTGAACCAGGCAGATATGAATACACAGAGTCTGTAAGCCTAAAATGTCCTCAAGCCAGCTACTGATACACTCTGTGAATTCATATCTTGCCAGTTCAACTGCTGTTTACATTACATCTAGTCTTGCACTTATCTTACTTTCAGCCCTGATAAAGTGTTTTTTTTTCTGACCCCCCAAAACATGCTGGCTGTGATAGTCTCTAATAGGATTATAGCTGGATAATTAATTCCAGACATGGCACAATAAAACCCCGGAAAAGACTCTAGCCCTTCCCCAAAACAAGGTAAAAAGTTTTGACCTCTCCACTTGGCTTGAGTGGTTGGGAACATCGTCATTAATATGCAGATACATCTTGCCTTGCCTGGCTGCTTTGGATCCAATCTTCTTCATCCCTGGCACTTTTTTTCTTGCCTTCCGCCATCCATTGAATTCTGTTTTACTTTCACATATGCAATGGCCCTGCTTCTTACCTTTCTTGCACTGCTTCAGAACCTGCTCACCACAGAGTTCTCTTCTCTTTCTCTAGAAAAGCTCAGCCTGCAGATTCATGAAGAATCAGCTGCAGCTTTCACATTGCTTCAGATCCAACAAACCTCTGCCAGCACTCTTGCCTATCCCTACTTGCATTCTGCTCTGTTGTGGACATGGCACAGGCAAATGTTATCCCCTTTGAAATTGATGTTTGTTTTGTGCGCTCGTGCAGTAGCCTCCTACTCCTGTCCATTGTGCACCTACCCTGCGCGCTTTGCAGGGTCTCGTGTTGCCGCTAGAGTCTTCTGTTGCCGTTTTTTTCCATTGGCAGGTTCCAAAGCTTTTCATCATTCCCCTGCATGTTACCTTTTGTTTTCCTATAACATTTTGTATCTTCTCTATTTTTTTCTTCTCAAGTCTTTCCCTTGTCAGCTAGTGGTAATACTTTGACATCATAATATTTTTATGAAAAGAGGTAAGAAAACAGTGCCACAAGGGACACAGTAGACTTCCAACACATTAAGAAAATCGCTTAGTATGTAGTGGGTTACATTCAGAAACAATTATAACATAGATCTAGAAGTTGTGCATAAATCCGTGAAGACAGTTCCCTATGAGAGATAGGTTGAACAAACTTCCACCAAGGTGCACTCTATCTATGTATCCCTGTACCACACAAGGGTCTATGGCAGGGATAGGCAACCTTACCACCCCAGCTGTGGTGAAACTACAAATCCCATAATGCTTCTGACTCTAGGAGTCATGCCTGTGGTTGTTAGTCTATCAATGCTCCATGAGATTTGTAGTTTCACCACAGCTGGAGTACCAAGGTTGCCCACTTCTGGTCTGTAGTGAAAAAAAGAGGGAAAGTGGAAAGGAGGAAAATATACAGAGGGAGATGGTATAAGAGAGGGAGGAAGGGGCACTTTAGGGATACAAGTCCACATGAGAGGAAAAGAGGGGAGCAACATGGCAACACCAGCCTTTACAGGAGTCATAGTGATAGACTGCCTTAGAGGCAACGTATATGTAGATATCCACATATAAGGGCTTCCATAGGTAGGAAATGTTGGCATTAATATGCTAGTGAATGTCTCTACCTACTCCAGGAGATTCATTTTGGCAATCCTTATAAATTCTCATGCCGACTAGCTGGCAAATTATGTATTATTAGGCAGGATGGTCAAATAAGATACTGGTATGGGCTCTCGAAGTATCACACTTGCCATTGGCAAACAGTAGATGCCACCGTGTTTACAAAATATGTGTGTATAGAGAGCATTGAGCATTTTGTAGACACATACTGACATTTCTGCATCCTGTTTTATGTTAACAGGTTTATAGTAACATTTCTTTGGGATGCAGTAAATGGTTGCAAAGTGTTTTAGACTTTAGCATTCTTGACTTGCAGCTCAGGGAGCCAGGGTTCAGGTCCCACCAGGCAGTTTGTGTGTTGTCTTTTTGCACAACTTAAAAACTTTCTGGTAGGTTAATTGATTTCCTGTGTGTGTCATCGTGGCTGTGAAAGACATTAAATTGTAAGCTCCTCGGGGACAGAGACTGATATGACTGGTTTGCTACAGAATACTTTGCCATTATATAAATCAAGTCATAAAATACTTCATGAGCCTGTACAAGCATAAAGAAACAAGAAGGCTAACACTGTTTAATATAATTAATTATTTTCCTAACCTGTTTTAAAATATCATGTTTATAAGGGTTTATACTATAAAATGTGGATCCTGTGGTGCCTGTACCACCTTTGTGCCATGAAGCTGGTCTTGTCCTGTCCTTGCTTTAGGTGTCTTGTCCTAACACGGTCCTAGGTGTTTTTTTGTTGTCTTTGGACCACCTGCTTGGTGTTTGTTTGCTTTGCATTATAGTGCGGGTTTAATTGTAAACTCTGCAACGTTCTATGTTAAGGCAGCTTATAACACAAGGATAATCCTCAGGGTGCCTATTTCTGCTAAGCATTTGGGCCAAATTTTGGGGCGTTTGTTGGAAATATTTAACCCTTGCCTGCTCTGTTCACAGACGGAAGAAAAGGTCAGTGCATGTTGGGAACTTTTACAAATCGGGGAGATTTCATTGTTCTCCTACTGGCTCTGTATAGAGCTTGGCTAAGTATTAAAAACCTTGCTCTGGTTGTTCTACTTGCTTGCTTTGTTGGTCTGCAAAAACAAATTAGCTATCAGGCCTGTCCTATTAAATGCCTTGGCTTGGTGTCATCTAGACCCAAGAGCCACTTTAGCTGTATATTTTTACCCATTACATTTTACAGTTGTTGGACACCAGCAGTCAGGCTACTTGTGCAGTTTAAAGCACATTACCCTACTTGCTTAGGTGACTGTGGGTATTCTTACCAGTTAGATTAACACCCTCTATCAGATAAAAAGAAGAAGACGTGTCCCTGCTTTGGAAAGCTTTTGGTGTTTGAATTGATTTAATTACCTGTTAGATTAAAGGTACTCTTTAGCATTTAGAATTTAATTTCACCCAGACAACACAGCCTGCCTGCTGATTTGCTCTAATATTAATTAGACCACAGTAAAATCCTAGGTGTGGGTGAGGTGCTAGACTTTAATTTTTCAAGATAGAGTCTTTACGTGGGCCCCTTGGAAGAGAGGGGTTACCCGAAATGAGAAATCTACAAGTGATCAGTTCAATGAGAAAGTTATAAATGACTCCTATAAGAAAGGCAATGGAACAAAAATGCTGATTAAAACGAGAATACAACATCAAAAGAACATAATGTGTGACGCATAATGTGTGGGTAAAAAGTTAGTAAAAGAAGAAAACCGGTACTAGACCCTTGGGGGCCTATCAATACCGAAAAATAGTTTAAAAGATATGAAACAAACATATCCTATCTGTAGGCCAAGAAGGAAACATACGAAGGTAAAGGAAGGTGCAGTCATCTAACTTATTATTATCCCAAATGTATTTATTAAAAACTAAAAGTAAAATATTGAACTGACATAGGTAAGTAGTGTAACTGGAAGGAGCCTCGCAGCTGGACAGCACCATGGCCAGTGTTATGGCTCCAAGTTGATGTGCAGGATGTTTGTAAAGACGTTTATGGTATGTATTGGTAACACCAAGTGTGCCTATATAAATGAGGACGGATGAAGTGTTGTAGAAGGCTTAACAAAGGTGAGGCCCTCAACGCATATTGCCTACCTACTTAGGCAAACAGGAAGTAGACAGATGCCCAGCAGCCTCCGGACACCACCTTGTTAAGAAGATGAGTGGATTATGTTGCGGGGTAGGATTTCATGTCCAGGATTTACCTTTGCCGATCCACTGGCCATGGTGCTGCCTAGTGCTAAGAGCCATTCCTGTTGCATGGTAGTTAAATAAATACATTTGACATAATTCCTTAGGACAGGGCTGGACAAATCCCAGGAGCCAGGCAACCAAGGCGCCTTAAAAAATGCAGCTAGAGCCTAACGTGTGATGTTTTCGCTAGTTATCAATGAAGCTGGCCCCAAAAACAATCCTGCTGGCTCCTGTATTGGACAGACTGTCACCTGAATTCCATATTAATTTGTCCACCCCTGCCTTAGGATAGTGCACCCTACTGAACCTTTCATGTTCCTTGCATGTTACTGAGGCTACTAAAACTAGATCGTCCACTGCTCATATAAGAACACATTGTATATGGATGGTTGTCAGAACATTGGAGTCCCGCCCAAGATAAGCTTTTTGTGTTGACGACGGGAGATTCTATACGTTGTTGTAGTATACTTTAAGTAGCACGTATGTAAACTGAATAAACATTCTTATTTTAAGTTAATATTTAGGCAAATAGCTCAGTACACATTTGAAATAGCTGCTTTACCCACCCAAAATTTGTTTTCTGTCAAATCAGTCCTGAAATTTGCATAGCCTACCAGACAGGCAGGTTACTGACCCGACTAAACTCTCTTGCAGTTAAGCAATACAGCCTGGTCACGTCCTGCCCCTTGACTGTGATTGGACAGTAAATGAGAAGCAGCAGGGCTCAACACTCTGCTTTCTACTTCTGTCCAATTCTTTGTCCTTGTCATGCTGCCCTTGGCTGAGTTCTGCTGTACATGAAATTACAGGAGGCTCATATCAAGTCAAATTCAGTTGCATACATTGTCCTCATTACTAAATACACTTTTAAATGCACTTAAAAGACAACTATGGGTTAAGTGTTTTTCCCCATAGTTCTCTTTAGGGTCACGGGAGGACATATGCTAACCTCCTCCCGTGACCCAAAGCTCAGTATACAGCGGACTATTGCCCGCGATATCCTGAGAGTGCCGTGGCCGGGACAAATCCCGACAATACTGTCGAGATCTACCCAACTGCGTGAGTGGCAGCTGGCTCTGCCTATCTAGAGGCAGAGCCAGCTGTGCCCGCCCTCTCCCTGTCCGTTCCTCTAGTCAGCGCTGGAGGATTGGGGAGTGGGGAATCCCTGCAGGGACCGGTGACTGACAGATGATCAAAAAGTGAGCGAGTGACGCAATGTGTTCACTCACTTCCCAATCAATAGAGCCGACCTGTGACAGCTTCTTTGTCACAGGTCAGTCCTAACTATGAGGATGAGTGGAAATCACTCCCCTCATAGTTCTCCTTTAATTATGTTTTAATGAATTCATAAGTGCAAATCAATTGTTGCACTTGCCATAAACCATGTTCTTGCGCTCAGCGGCATCCCTCTTAGTTCTAAATCCCTGCTTCATTTATTTTCCATTATTCATTTACCTATCTCTTTTGTAGCCATCCCCTGTTGCACTTCTCATCTGCACATAGCTCCTTTTTCCATTCCCTACTATGTATAGCTGCATCTGTCTACCCCACCATTGCATGTCTGCTCTCACCACCACATCTTCTCATCTTCCTTGTTGGGTACGGCACGCGGCATCTCACTACAAATCTATGGTGCAACTCGGACAGGAACTCTAGTAAACTGGGCCGCTCAGAGAGCCTTCGAGTTTATGAGCGCAAGCGTTCCCAGCGAGGTTCAGCCAAAGGCAAGCAGGCGCGCTCTCGCAGCGACGTGGACCTGGAGGCTGCAGCCCGAGCAAACGACATGCAGCTCTCTTCAAGCAAATCCGGCTCTAAAACAGGCAACTTCACGTAGGTTTGGAGGTCAACGTACCTCAACATATGGACTTACTTTCATCTTTATTTCTTAGCATTCGAAGTCCAATTATGTTTTTATGGATTCTAGCATACGTGTTGCTTATGCACTGCCTATTAAGTGATTTTTTTTTTATAAAGTAGGAGCAAGATTTCATGTTGTGTCAATGTCACAAATTCATGACAATGCTGAAATGGTTTAAACTCCAAAATAGCTGACTGCAGGTTGTATGAGTGACAGGTACTCTTTTTAAGAGGTAGCTTGACTGGAGGAGCTTGTCCTGTTTTGTGGTTTTGCCCCTTTTTCTTGGTTAGAATTAAAAATCTAAGAATGTGGACATCTAATGATTATGTGGTCCTAATGCACAAATATTGCTCCCCCCTCCCCCGGTCTAGACTGTCCTCTTGCAGTCAGCAATAATGTCAGGTAGGTCTGAGATATGTCACTCTCTATGTTGTGTATGAACCATCTGGATATATACAGCACTTGCACATTAAATTAAACATTTCACCATGCTTTACCAAAATGGTTGGATTGTGCAATACACAACTAGTCAGACTTATGAGATGGGCAAGGCGGGCATAGGAGATGGGCAAGGCGGGCATAGGAGATGGGCAAGGCGGGCATAGGAGATGGGCAAGGCGGACATAGGAGATGGGCAAGGCGGACATAGGAGATGGGCAAGGCGGACATAGGAGATGGTTCCCAAACAAAACAATAGATGATACGACCAGCGCAAAATGCAACCAAACAAGCCCTCCTGTGATCCAAAGAGCTCTGATGAAGGGGAATTCCCCAAAAACGTGTTCAGCTTAGTGGCAGTGAGACTCACTACGAGTAGAGCTCCTGGACATTCATACCTTTTGTGCAGCGGGTCCTTCAGTGAGGACTACAAGTTCTATGTGTCACTGTTCTTGCTCCATTTGTGACTATAAGTGTTTTTATATATACATTTTTTTCAATAAAAGGATTATTGCACCAGGTTAGGCGCCCGGTGTTTTCTTTCTTTTGGACATAGGAGATGGGCAGGCGGACAGAGGAGATGGGCAGGCGGACAGAGGAGATGGGCAGGCGGACAGAGGAGATGGGCAGGCGGACAGAGGAGATGGGCAGGCGGACAGAGGAGATGGGCAGGCGGACAGAGGAGATGGGCAGGCGGACAGAGGAGATGGGCAGGCGGACAGAGGAGATGGGCAGGCGGACAGAGGAGATGGGCAGGCGGACAGAGGAGATGGGCAGGCGGACAGAGGAGATGGGCAGGCGGACAGAGGAGATGGGCAGAGAGAAAGAGACACTTGGGATGGTCGGAGAGAAAGAGACACTTGGGATGGGCGTAGAGAAAGAGACACTTGGGATGGGCGTAGAGAAAGAGACACTTGGGATGGTCGGAGAGAAAGAGACACTTGGGATGGTCGGAGAGAAAGAGACACTTGGGATGGGCGGAGAGAAAGAGACACTTGGGATGGGCGGAGAGAAAGGGACACTTGGGATGGGCGGAGAGAAAGGGACACGTGAGTCGTGCAGACAGAAGTATACATGAGATGGGCAGACAGATGGACATATGGACATTTCAGATGGGTGAGAAGACAGTCATATGAATTGAGCAGGCAGACATATTTGATAGACAGGGACACTGCATTATATGCACAGGACACAGATTCAATAAACTAACGAATGCAACAGATCAGTCAGATGGACTAAATGGAGTCTTTGCTGTCTTTGTTTGCACTGGCCCCCCCTTTGTAACTGTAAAATGTTTCTATTCCAGTCCTGAGCCTGGAGGGAGTGCGGAGGGTCCGCTGTCCTTTCTGCTTCCCCAGTCTGAGGAGACTGAGCCGCGCGTTTTGGAGATCGAGAATGACCCCCCAAACTGGAGGGAACTCGTCCCCCCTGAAACACTCCTCAGGCTGACGAAAAGCGAAATCAAGCGGCAAGAGGTCATCAATGGTACGATACAACGCAAGCTTCTGTTTTTCTAGCTGGTTCTTGTCTTAGGAAGATGGGTGTTTAGCTATACACCCTCCTATCTCTACCTAAACACATCATCAGAATTGATTAATACTCTAAAAAACAAGATTATCTCTACAGCTCGATTTCCTTTGCTTGTATACAAGAGCGGCACACCAAAAACATCCAATACCTCTCCCCCTTGGGAACACTGTTTCAATGCGCTGAGGGATTTTTTCTGTTTTTATTACTGATCTAATGCTTGGGGGATCTTCAGGACTTTCTCTGGAACCCTGTAACTGCATTCAGCACACATCAAGTGAAGCCATAAGATTATTTGTATCACCTAGTTCTTCTGTACAGGATTTAAGTGATTCAGATGGTTATAAAGCCACCAATACTGTTACATGGGGGTCAGGTAAGAGCTACTGTGGCTATAGAAAAGTCAAAAGAAACGTCAAATATAAATTAAGAATAAAATATAGCAAACTGATGAAAAAAACTACTGTTAAACACACACACACAAAAACTCAGTTGTGACACACACACATGTTAAAGTCCAACTCCAGGCTATTTTTTATAATGTCCTCCCAAGTATTAGACACAATCTCATGCTCCAATACTAACCTTTTATCTGGAGCTTTCCTTGCAGTACCTCTTCTATGCCACAAGATGTCCTCAATCTTCCAGGTTGAATGACACCCAGCGTCGCTCAACCCATAAGCTTGAGGACTTTGTGAAAACAGGATGTCATAGACCCACCACCTGAGGAACAAAAATTTACAGAAGCCCTAACCTTTCTCCATTAATAAAAGTGTTTTTATCGCTGCCTCTGCCCTTTTGATATTTGCAATTCCTGTCCCTGTAACACAGCAAAAAGTGAGAGGGAAAGCTCCCCAACAGTGACACAGGCGGCAATAAAACCTGTGTGAGCTTCTATCCCTTTCCACACTCCATTTAAAATAGAAGAAAGGGTCACAATCAGCTGGTCTTGTTCTATAATGTTGAAGACTTTTAGCTGCTTATCCAAGCGGCTACAGTTTTTCAACATCGCAGAACAAGTTGACTTGAATGTGACTGATAGCTATACCATGAGCTGGATAAGTGAGAACCTTCACAAATAGGTTCTAGCTTAGAGTTCTACTTCAACTTCGAATATGGCTGGAAATCTATTGGTCAGTCCGGTGACATCTTGTTGATCTTTCTCATCTTTTACAGAACTGCTGTTCACGGAGCACGCTCACGTTCGGATGCTGCGTGTCCTGCATGACATCTTCTACCTTCCCATGCAGAATGCCTGGATACCCAACATGGAGTTGGAAAACATCTTCCCCAGTCTTGATGACCTTATAGAGGCTCATGGTGAGGCTACCCTCCCCACACCCTCCTTTGTTTCTCTCCTGTTCTCTGTTACTCATTGGGTTTCGTATCCGTCACTCTAGCCTTGTTCCTGGAAAACTTGAAAAAGCTGCGTTCGGAGAACAACTCCATTATCCAGGAGATTGGGAACACGTTGCTACAGCGGGTGAGTAGAAGTCCTTCCTGCGAATGCCTTCACATTATTATGTTGTAGCTGTCATTGGTGAAGTTGGGCACCAACGAAGCTTGTGTGTGTGTGTATATACAGGTGAAACTCGAATAATTAGAATATCGTGCAAAAGTAATTGCAGTAAGTTCTGCAAAAGGAGCCCAAACCAAGTACTGAGTACATATGCATGCTTGTACTTTTCAGAGGTCCGATATTGTTCTATGTACAATCCTTGTTTTATTGATTGCATGTAATAATCTACTTTTTTGAGGTTGTGGATTTGGGGTTCTTGGGGTTTTCATGAGCTGTAAGCCATAATCATCACAATTATGACAAATCACGGCTTGAATTATCTTGCTTTGCATGTAATGAGTCTCTCATATATTAGTTTCACCTTTTAAGTTGCATTAGTGAAATAAATGAACTTTGCACGATATTCTAATTATTCGAGTTTCACCTGTATGTGTATGTCTGTGTGTGTGTGTGTGTATATATACATATATATATATATATCACCATGTGTATGTAGCCATACAGAGGGGAAAACAACTAGTTACTAGTATTCCCTGTGGTCTCCCTGCACTTGATCTTTCCCCATTACTTACCATGCCTTGTTCTGCACTGTATCTCTGTGCGGTGGTAGCCATTTTGATAGAGGCAGGGTTTTGCTTTCTCATGTCAGTGCCTCCAGCAAGGAGAACAGTGAGCAGCCCAATATTGACAATAACCAAATATGACTCCAAATCTTCTGAGACTAGCAGTCAGAGGCAGCAGTGCCTCCAATCTACACTGCAGATATACAGCTATGAGGTTATAGGTACTGGAGTGCCTAAGCACACTCACATAATGGGGATCATCTAGTACTTTCCTTCCGAGCCTGACTGCCCTTGACCCACCCCTTTCATTCATTTGATTTTAGCACTTTCAATCATGGAAGCCCAGCACTGCATGTGGATTTTTCCTAGGCTGGTCTGTATTTAAATACAATCTAAGGATACTCCCTCCTCTAGACTGACATCCACCCATCAAGGCATTTTAATATTTGCATAAGGCCCAAAGAACCAACCCACTGTTTGCATCAGGGCTGATGGCTCTTAAAGGAGAACTATGGGGCCAGTGCTTTTCCCCATAGTTCTCCTAAGGGTAACGGGAGGACACAAACTAGCGCCCTCCCGTTACCCAAAGCTCAGTATACCGCAAGCTGAGACGCTGCAAGCTGAGACGCCGCAGCCGGGACAGATCCTGACATGACTGTCTGGATCCGCCCAGCTGCATGAGTGACAGCCGACTCTGCCTATCTAGAGGCAGAGCCAGCTGTACCCGCCCCACCGATCTATTGAGCCGACGTGTGACAGTTTCATTGTCACACGTCGGCTCGAACTATGAGGCTGAGGGATTTTCACTCGCCTTATAGTTCTCCTTTAAGAGGTGTACTGGGGCAGGGTGCTGTAATGGTTTCAGGAAGCTATGTTCAGCACCCTGCTGGCCCCTCCCACCGGCCATAATCTGCCCGCATTGCACAGAGAAGCATAGAGACCCAATGATGACATCACTGGGTCTAAAATAAAGTATGTAATGAAAACAGATTTTATATAAACATGTAATTAGCGTGTTGGTAAGGGGGGGAAAGGAGGAACCAGGGAAGCAGATTAAACTTCAGCTTTAAATAAGGAATAACCCAGTTCAGGTTTACCAACTGCCAGGCTGCAGATCGTTGCTTAGCGATCGTTGAGAAACCTGGCAACCTGCCATTATCCCCTCCGCCCCCCGAGAACTGAAATAGAGAGCAGTTCCAATTGTCTGGGGAAGATTCCAAGACAACCTGTTTTGTAGCAATCGCTGCATTAAATAATAGCGTACAGCGCCCGGGAGATGGAAAAGCGGTGACGTAAGCTTAGTTTACTTATTCATGATCTGCCGTTTTCTTCTCCGACAGTTTGATGGTCCCGAGGGACAATGGTTTCAGAAAATATCTTCGAGGTTCTGTAGCCGACAGCCATTTGCCTTGGAACAGCTCAAGCAGAAGCAGAAGAAAGACGCCAGATTCACCCAATTTATTCAGGTAAGCCCTAATCACTTGTTCAGTAACAGACGGCCACTCTTAAAGGCCCAATACTGTTGGTAAATCGGGTCAGCGCTGCAGTTAATAGAGGATATGTATTGGTGTAGCAAAAAGGCTAATGCAATTATTATTAATGCAACTCCAACCACAACAGATTTTGGGTGGAAGGGTCAGAGCAGGGACAGGCAACGGCAGCACTCCAGCTGCTGTAAAACTACAAGTCCCATGAGGCATTGCAAGACACTGGCAGTCACAGACATGCCTCCCAGAGGCAAAGCATAATGGTATTTGTAGTTTCAGCACAGCAGGACTTCCAGGGATACTTAACTCCTGGCTTAGAAAATCATTCAGGTATCTATTGTTGTCAGAAGCCCTGGACATACAGCCTCGCTATTTGAGCAATATCACTAGTGAGGCGAACTACATTATTTACTGGGACAGGACTACATAGATACGTAGTCAGGTTGAAAAGAGACACATGTCCATCGAGTTCAACCTATAGAGTTATAAGAGAAGGGGAAAAAAAAGGAAAGAAGAAAAACCTAAAACAGAACGCTATACAACGCTATTTCTACACAGGCTATCCCCCCTTCAGTCTATCATGAATGCAGCTGCTAGGCTCATCCACCTAACCAACCGCTCAGTGTCTGCAACCCCCCTCTGCCAATCCCTACACTGGCTTCCAATAGCCCAAAGGATAAAATTCAAAATATTAACAACCGCGTACAAAGCCATCTCCAACCTGGTCTCAAAGTATTACCCTAACCGTCCCCTCCGCTCTTCACAAGCTCCTAACCACTGAACAATCACTTTCTCAAACAATCATCCCACGCACAGCTACCTCCTCATGTATCACTTGCCCCTCCCTTTTAGATTGTAAGCCCTCACGGGCAGGGCCCTCCTTATCATCTTGTCTTAAATTGTATTGTGACTGTAATGTCTTCCTTATATTGTAAAGCGCTGTGCAAACTATTGGCGCTATATAAATACTGTATAATAATAATAATAATAATACATTGTTCTAGAGCAGGAATCTTCCAATGGGGACACATGTTCTTGGAATATCTGCCAAAAGCTTGATTTTTTTCCCCCTCCCTTTTGGGAGTTTTCCATTCACTTCCTATTGTATCTTTGGGAAAGGAAGTAAGAAGAAAGCTCCTCAGTGGGGTCACAGGCAGCATTAGGAACCCAACAAAGGTCCTATTCATCTTGGTGCATCAGGAAGATACTATTGTTCTCTATGTCAGGACATGTCTTTAGTCAGGTATATCTTCAGAATTATAATAGGAAATGCGCCTTTTACCTCCCTTTGGGAGTTTGCTATTTACTATGTGTAGTGTCTCCAGGACACAAAGTGCAAATAAAGATCCTCAATGGGGTCACAGACGGCAACAGGAACCTGACGAAGGTCATCTTCACCTTGGTGCGTCAGGCAGATACCATTGCACTCAGTGGGAGGAAACGTAAGGCACATGTGCAGAATTGTACTTCATTCACACGGCTGCATCGGGCAGCTCCCTTGAAGGACAGGTGCTGCCTATGATTAGTACGCAGTCCCTGTCCTCTATGGGATTACTCGGCCATACGCCCCCCTACGCTCACCTCAAGTGCAGGTCGGTACAGGTGCGGGTGTCCTGGCTCGGACGCAGAAAGGATCCATCCTGCCAGCGTACGAGTACGCTCACCCGCACAGACGTGCAGGGCGGGTGAGCGTAGGGCGGCGTACGGCCGCATAGTCCCATAGAGAAAGTCAGGGGCTGCGTACTAATCACACGCATCACCTGTCCTTCCCGGGAGCTGCCCGATACGGACATGCACGCAGCACGGAGTTGTACGTGCCGGCCGTTTCTCGTGTGAATGAGGCCTTATAATAGGAAATGTGCCTTTGAATGAAACTATGTTCTTCCGAGTTATTTAATCTAACCTGTTCTTGTTTCCATGGTCACCAGGAGGCGGAAAGCCATCCTCAATGCCGCCGGTTACAGTTAAAGGATATCATCCCATTTGAGATGCAAAGACTGACCAAATACCCCCTACTACTGCAGAACATTGCAAACCTCACGGGTGAGTGCCTCTCTCCTGCCCCAGCTACATAAGCAATGTACTAAAGCTGCAGGAGTTGCATGGATTTTGCATGTTTTCCCTGTGATGGCGTGCGTTTCCTCTACACTGCAAAGACATGCTGGTAGGTTGATAGGCTCCTGTCTAAATCCTGTCTGAATCGGTCCTAGTGCGTGTGTGTATATATGTGTGTATGCATGTACACCTTAGATTGTAGGCTCCTTAATGGCAGGGACTGATGTGAATGTACAGTATGTAAATTGTGGTTTCAATATAAATTAAATACCAATAATAAATACATGTTTTGTTCTTGGTTTTGGATAAACTTCAAAGAGGAACTCCAGCTATTAACAAAATTAACCCTTGCAGTGGGGCCACCCCTGCAGTGTAATGGTTAACTGCTCATTTCAGTCTAGGGGCTGGAATACAGAAGCTACAGTCCCTTGATCCTCGGTCCTGCGGCAGTCAATATTTAAAGGAGAACTATGGGGTTAAGGCTTTTCCCCATAGTTCTCCTTAGGGTAACGGGAGGACACAAACTAGCGTCCTCCCGTCGCCCTAGGCTCAGTATACCGCGAGCTGTAGCTTGCGGTATACTGAGACGCCGCAGCTGAAGCGGATCCCGACAATTGTGCCGGGATCCGCCCAGCTGCGTGACTGACAGCTGGCTCTGCCTATCTAGAGGCAGAGCCAGCTGTACCCGCCCCCTCCCCCGTCCATTCCGCCAGTCAGCGCTGGCGGGGAGGGGGGAATCCAGCCCCTCCCCTGTCACGGCAGAGAGCCGTGACAGGATCGAGAGGTGAGCGAACGCCGGTATGTGTTCGCTCACCTCCCGATCTAATGAGCCGACCTGTGACAGTCTCATTGTCACAGGTCGGCTAGAACTATGAGGTGAGTGAAAATCACTCACCTCATAGCTCTCCTTTAACTTGGTCCCCCTCCAATGTGGCTGTGGTATGTCCCTTGGCATTCTCACATCTAATGCAGGTGAATTGACCTGCATTAGACATGATGACATCAGCGGGGCTTAAACCTTCGGAGCCCAGGGACCGAGAATCCGGTAAGTATATCTTCTTTAAACCATCCCCCATGACCAAAACTAGCAATTAACCCTTTCAATGCGAGGGTAGCCTGACTGCAAGGGTTAATTTTTTTAATTCCTGGAGTTCCTCTTTAACTCTTCAGCTCTAATAACTTACAGAATTAATGGGTGGAAAGATCCTTTAATGTCAACTTTTTTGAACTATGCATACCACCATCAGCAGGGCTTCATTAAAAAATAGAATCGGCGTAACATTTTGCTCTGCCTGAGCTGAAGATGATGTGATTAAAAAAAAAAGAAGTTTTAATTCTACAAAAACAATGAACAATGAGTGAGCTGTGGCAGAGATTGGTCCCCGCAGTTACACCATCACTTCAAAGCCACTTATCATTACTGACAGCCAATTACAAGAGCAGACTGCTGGAAAGCTACCTGTTACTTTAGTTTTGTTCCCGCAGCGCTGAAGACGTCATCCTTCATTTTCTAGGGAAAGACGGAGCTCAGGAGGGACAGACGTTTCCACCCAGTTTTAACTTTGTAACTGTCTAGTCTTTGCTGATAAAAGAACGCCGGTGGCTGGATTGTGTTCCCTTTTGGGCATCCTTGCCAGAAGTCACTTTCAGTGATCATTTTCTTTAATGGATCCTTTTAATACAATATAAACACTAAAGTGTTTGTATTGCGTTTACTGTGTTAGGGTAGAAAATGAAGCCTTGAGGCTGCAATAAGGGCATGTTAAAAGACAAGTTCAGGGTTTCCTACGAAGTAAACCCTGGTCCTCTTCTCTAGCCCTCTAAAAACACGAAGTTGAGCCATCCACCAAGCAGGTCCTTAATGTCCTCCAATGGTGCCGGTGCCTCCAGGTCCAGATTTTTAACAGCCAGGCTGTAGATAACACAATTAGAAGAGGTCAGTAAGTAAGTACCTGTAAAGGGACAGCTCAGCTTAGGGTACATAGGGAGCTTGGCCTTTTAAAGAGCCTCTTGCCCACTGAGTCTCATTAATGCCCACTCCTATACAACCTATGCACACCCTCACTCTGCTGACCCTGCCACTTCATTGCTTCAATGGAGCTGCCACAGTATACCTGGAGCTTCTGGATGTACGGAAGCACGTGACCTCCTATGATGAGAGTGCTCTGGCCCGAGTGGCCGGTTGCCAGCCAGGCCTGAACACTGTCACATGAGTGAGGGTGAGACATCATCAATGCTGTGTAAGCTCCAACACCATCTGACATGGAATTTTCAAAGGGTTAGGATTTAAGAGCAACAGAATGGCTGAGGCACATGCCAAAGTCAAGTACAAGTGGCTTGGGGGTTGGATTTTAGAGTTGTCACTTTTTCCTAAATGGGCTAATGGAGAAAGTTTCTTTTAAGGAAACCTGTCCTTGCCCTCAGCATGTATTGTAACAGGTTCACCTTCCCTGTGCTCCCCCAAGTCCCAATCAGCTGGCAGAGCCACCATGTACTTCTTTGTTAGTTTAGACTCCAAGAAGTGGAAATTTACAGGGGGCTGTGCACGCTCTTCCCCACCATTGTGTGACGGGCCTGGCGATTGGCTGGTCAGACTCTGTTTGTTCTATTGTGGGATGACGGTAGTGTCATATGTTCTTCCAGTTATTTCAGCGCTGCATAAATATGAGCTCCAGAACTCCATTAACAGTAAAGTTAAATACTATTCTCAGAAGTGGCTGTGTGGTTTTGTGATCAGCAACTTTTCTAATTGTCAGCTGTCAAGTCGGGCAGCTTTTGTTTGGAAATTGACGTCATTTGAAAAACGAAAGAGGGCCTTTTGGGAAGTTGCAGTTCCTCACTCTTGTTTCTGTGTCTTTTAGAGGAAGAAGAGGAGAAGCAGAAAGTAAAAAAGGCAGCTGAGAGTTGCCGACAGATCCTGAACCATGTTAATACAGAAGTCCGAGAGATGGAGAATAAGATGGTAAGATATGGGTGTGTGTGTGTATCATTCCTGCTGTGATCATAGAGTCACCGGCATGAGTTCTGGGATTCTCCATCAGAACAATTTGCCTTTTGTAGCTAGCAAGGTGCAGTCATTGTTTGGTGGTTTGTATTTTCTCAGTAGATTAAACTAACTGGTTGGTTGTAACTGCTTTTCTAGCATACCAGTTGATGAGCTGCAATGCCGCCTTTCACCTACAGGTTGCATTTGTGATTTTTTTTTTTCCCCCTTATTTTATTTTTGGTTGCCTTTTAAAGTGAATCTGTGCTTCACTAATGCAGGGCAAAGCAACAGGTTCACTTTAATGACAACCTCAACAGGCACATTTACTTGTCTTCCTTTCTGCCCTGTTTAGCTGCCAGGAGTGCAAGCAAAGCCCTGTGTACAAGTCACCAAAGTCATAGCTGACAGAGTTGTGGACTCCATATGATACTGCTGATTGGCACTTGGATGTTTCTCCATACCCCTACATAGTGGGCATTTTTCTGGCCCCCAGCACTAAATGGAGTGATGGGAAAGCAAAGAAAATGTATATGCTGCTAGGGATAGGGGATGGGGTGGTTTGCTTTAAATTAAAATGGCCATAAAATAAATACCAGGACTGCTTACCTCCTTCTAAAAATGCTAGCTGGCTGGTTGTCATGCTGAGCCTCCGATTGCAACGCTGTCCAAGTCACTGACCCCAAACAGGTTTGCAGGTCAGGAAGGTTGGAGAAAAGTCCTATCTACATACTTGTTCCAAATTAGATAAAAAAAAAGGGTTATCTTCACAGCCAAACAACTAGGATTTCCAAAAGGATTGCTCAGTAATGGCAGCTTCCTTTAGTAGGTCACATTTAGGCTCTTGTCTTACTAGAAGTGATGCATTCGGCAGAACAGATCCATAACAATTAAATTATGGCTAAAGTGGATTATTTGTGCCAAAACAATTGTATATGAGTTGCTATGTCCTCTGTCCCTATTTGTTGTTATGGTGCCTCTACACAGTTCAGTGGTCATCAGAGTATTTTGGAATTCCATTAATAATGGAAGGTCTCTGAATTGACAGATGACTACATATCGGATACATGTGATGCTGTACAAGGGCAGCATGTCTGTGGTTTGTTGGTTGTCACATGACCTCTGATGCTGTTTGCTGTGCAGTATGGCCGCCATCATGATGACTATTCCTGTAGCAGATTGGGATTCCTGAAGCCCATACGGAGACGAGTCGGATAGCCTTCTACTTGTGTTAAAGCAGATTTAAATGTGTGTATGACATCTGTCTTTTCTTGTTCTTTACAGAAACTTACTGATTACCAAAGACGTCTTGATATATCAAACTTGAAGCAGAGCAATGACCCGCTATTCAATGAGTTCAAGGTAAAATCCTTCTTAGTGCTGTACTAAAATATCTGACCTTGAAGAGCCACATGATACAACATCCATTCTTTAAGTGAGCCGGTCACTAATGGGCAATCGTAATATGAATTAAAGCTGCAATATGTTGCATTTTTAGTTTTGGGTTTATTTAAGCTTTAAAGAAAAACTCTGGGCATAAATATTCTTAACCCTTGCAGTGGGGAGAGAGGCTACAGGGAACGTTTGTAGTTTTTTTTTTAGCCCATTGAAACACCCAAAAGTGAACAAAAAAGGTGCATGTGAAACGCTCACAAAAAAGGGCACAGAAGGGGTGCTATCTAAAGGGTCCGTCTCCCGAAGAGACAGGGCCCATCCCTGACCCCCTGGGGTGCAAGGCTCTTGACAGGGGCAAAACCAGGCAGACCCATTCCTCGCGGCCAGTGAAGCCGACCACCGAGTACAAGGTTGAGGGCTCCCCTGAAGGGAGACCCCCGATTCAGGGGAGGAAGGAACCTAAGGGCCACACAACCTCCCCCTAGACTTCAGGGTAGGCCCGAAGACCCACACCGTCCATCCTGTGGAGTAAACAACACATACAAAAGTGAAAGGTGCACTCTATGTGAGAAAAATAATTTATAGTGCCAAAGTGCTAGACTATGGCTAGGCCTTGCAGCCAGGTAATAAAATTGCCCCTGGTCTTAGCCAAAAGGCCTAGCCCAAGAGGTGATGTGCTACACAAGCAAAGGTGTCGTGCCAAAGTGCCTTTCGCACAGTGGGGTCCCAGACCCATAGTGCTACTCGAGCACCCCCGGGTCACCATTCCAGGGGGCGTTAAACACCACAGGCTTCGTGCCTTCCCAGCCCATGGCCAGACCAGATAGACCCATCCAAATCAGGAGGAACTGGGCCCCGCCAGATCCCAGCACCCGAGAAGTACTCACCGACCCCCACTCTTACGTGAGTAGACGCTCAATTCGGTTTCCTTCCCATAGCGAGGACCTTGTAGGACCCCCATCACCAGGCAGGGTACTCAGATTCCAGCCATTTCCCCTCCTGCAACTGATAAGAACAGATACTACACTTGATCTTAGCCAACAGGCCGAGAAGCTGCAGGGACCGGTGTAGGATCCAACGGGCTCCGATGATTGGGCGAGTCTAACTTTACTTTCTTCCCTAGACAAGAACAAGCACTTTACCCTTGCAGTGCGGAGATAGCCCCACTTCAACGGTTAAGAATATTTCTCCTTTAAGGGTGACTATTCCTATCCTCAAAATGCCCATTTCTGACCGGTTCCCTTTAAGGTGGCAATATAAAAGACAGATTTAACTTCCGCAAATCACATGACCACGGGAGCTTGCAGCATTTTACGCCATCCCTAAGGCGGGTGTAGTCATAGGGATGGCATGTATTGCCCCTCCATAATTTGCTTTTTATGTAGCAGCTTGTTGCTGGGCTTATAACGGAAGGGTGATGTTTAGGTGTTCATGCTGTTGGGTTGAGTTGTCACCCCATGTAGAATTCTCTTCTGTTTTTTTATTTCAGAACATTGATATCAGCAAGAAAAACCTCATCTATGAGGGAGCACTTACTTGGAGGGTCAGCAAGGACAAGTCAGTGGGTGAGAAATTCCGTCATCCTTCTATTTCTACAGTTGCGTCCCTTGTCCACAAATTCCTGTGTGTCAGGTACTAGCAGGAAGGATAAGGATTTAGACACCATGTTCTCACAGTTGTCAGTAGATGCGGCTAGGAACACTGCAAAATAACTGCAGACTCAGCTGTCGCCAGATCGCTTCTACGGGCCGGCAACCTGCCCCGACACCCCCGCCGCGCCCCC